GGGGGGGGGGGGGGAATGATTGTCTTATTTGTTTTTAGGCGGGGTGAGAGATAAGGATGTGTGTTTCGGGGGAAAGAGGATGCTGGGAGCAGACAGAGTGAGAAGTGATTAAGCAGTTACTAGCTACTTTGCACAAACTATTATTAGGGGAAGAAAAAGACAGTTTTCACTAGTAAGAGCTGGGAAAACAGGTCCCCTCGGATACCAAAGGCACGGCACACTGCCATATGTGTCAAATTATGTCACTAACTCCTTGGTGATTGTCAGTCTGAAAAAACTAAGTCAACAAATATAGAAGAAGCTAGAATCTTAGTTTTACCTGGAAGGTATTTTCTGTAAAGCAATAAAATTGTTACTCTTAGAATAAGAGACTAGTATTATAGTACCAGTTCTTGAATTAGGCATATAAATGCATAAAACCCTTGAAAACCGGAAAACAGAAATTAATGTAGAGAAATAGTACACAGAAAGACTGAAATAAAGCTTTCCATTTCCAAAATGAAATAAAGCATTATGATTTTTAAAAATTCTGTGAAGTTCCACTAAAACACCTCCCAAGGTGCCATGGACCACCTGGGGCTTGAGGCAAAGAGCCGAGGGCAGTACCTCCTGCCTAAAAGCAGGCAAGAGAGCATGCTGAAAACACCACTTCCACCTGAGTGGCCCACCACAGCCATCCATGGCTGCCAAAAAAGTAGTTGATGCCACAGCAGCAGCCACTTCCACCATGTAGGTTGCCCAGCAGACACTGGACTGCGCTGACACAAGGAGAGTCACCAGCAGACACTGGAAAAAGTAGAGGACATCTCTCTCCTCAAAGCCCACTCCAAAGTAACAGAAAAAGCAACTGCTCCACCAGATGACCAGACATCAATGTACAGAACTAGGAAAACCCAATAAAATATGACACCACCAAAAGAATATAGTAATTCTCACATACCAGACCTACAGAGCAGAAAACCATTGAAATGACTGAAAAGGAACTCCAAGCAACAATCTTAGGGAAACTCACTGAGATACAAGAAGACTCAGACAACATATTGAAATGAGAAAAAAACCCAGGATATGAAGGACGAAATTTACAAAGAGATTAATACCTTAAGACTGTAGCAGAACTCATGGGACTGAAAGATTCACTCAACAAAATAAAAAACACAACTGAAAGCATAAGTGGCAGGCTAGAACAAGCAGAAGAAATGTTGGGGTGCTCTCAGTCAGCCAGGCCCGGGCTCCGGATTTCCCTGGCCGTGGCCACCGAGTGATCCCCGGCAGACTCCCTATCCCCCCAGGCAGGACCAGATAAGTTGCCTTCTGCGGCACAAGCCGAAGAAGGATCCCCGAAGGTGGGTGAGTGCACCGCCCGCCTATTCAGCCCGCAAAGGAACACTCAGACGCGGCGGGGGGTCCATCAAGCAGTTCCGTTTATTGTCTTTTAAGCACTTGTATTTATATCTAAGCAAGTGGGGATTTCCACACTGAGAGCCAATCACTGGAAAGGTCACATGTGCACGCGCTTTACTTTCCTATGCTTAGCCTACTGATCATGCACTGATCACCAGCGCACGGAAAAGCGCAACTACCAATAAAAATTTTTGCAGAACTAAAAGTGACACTTCCCCTTTGCTTCCTCTAGGCACCATCTTGTGTGGACCATGTGGGTGGGGAACTTAAACAGCCACCATTTGGTGTGGCCTCCTTTCACCCTGGCAATTGCTATAGCAAGTGGAACCATTGCAGCCCAACAAAGAAAGAATTTCTGATCTTGAAGATAGTCTTTTTGAAATAACCCAGGTGGACAAAAAAAAAGGAAAAAAATTTTTTTAAATATGAAGAAAATCTAAGAGAGCCAGCAGACAACCTTAAGTGCACAAACATTCAAATTATGGGTGTTCCAGAAGGGGAGGAGAAAGGAAAAGGCATGGAAAACCTATTCGACAAAATAATAATGGAAAACTTCCCAGGTATAGGGAGAGACACGGGCCTTCAGATCCAGGAAGCTCAAAGATCCCCAAACAGATTCAACCCAAAAAGATCCTCTCCAAGACACATTACAGTCAAAGTGGCAAAGCTCAAAGACAAAGAGAGAATCTTAAAAGAAGAGAAAAGCATCAAGTCATCTCTAAGGGAGCCCCTATCAGACTAACAGCAGACTTCTCAACAGAAGCTCTACAAGCCAGGGAAATGGGATGATATATTCAAATACTAAAAGAAAAAAAAAACTGGGAGTCAAGAATACTATACCCAGCAAGGCACTCCTTCAGAATTGAAGGGAAAATAGTTTATTTTCCAGACAAACAAAAGCTGTGGGAGTTCACCACCATACAACCAGCCCTGCAAGAAATCTTCAAAGAAATCCTGCATCTGGAATCCAAAAAACAATAATCACTACCATGAGTACATGAGCACAAACAAAACCCACTGGTAGAACAAAAATGCAAATAAGAGAAAGAGAAAGAAACTAAATTTTACCACCACAAAGCCAGGGAAATGGGATGATATATTCAAATACTAAAAGAAAAAAAAAACTGGGAGTCAAGAATACTATACCCAGCAAGGCTCTCCTTCAGAATTGAAGGGAAAATAGTTTATTTTCCAGACAAACAAAAGCTGTGGGAGTTCACCACCATACAACCAGCCCTGAAAGAAATCTTCAAAGAAATCCTGCATCTGGAATCCAAAAAACAATAATCACTACCATGAGTACATGAGCACAAACAAAATCCACTGGTAGAACAAAAATGCAAATAAGAGAAAGAGAAAGAAACTAAATTTTACCACCACAAAAAGCCATGACAATGTAATAATGCTTCTACTTTATTTCTGATTTTAGTAATTCCAGTCTTCTCTCTTTTTTTCTTGGTCAGTCTAGATAAAGGTTTGCAAATTTTGTTGACCTTTTTAAAGAACCAACTTTTGGTTTTGTTGATTTTCTCTATTGTTTCCCTATTTCATATACTTCTGTTGTAATCTTTGTTATTTCCTATTTATATGTGCTTTTGGTTTAGTTTGCTCTACCTCTATTTTCTTTTTCTTTCTTTTTTTTTTTTTTTTTTTTTTTTTTTTTTTNAACCCTCGGCGAGAGTGCCACCGCGCTCCCAAGCGGCGCACTGCAGCAGTGCGCCACCGGGCCGGCTCTCTACCTCTATTTTCTTAAGGCAAAAGTTGACATTACTGATTTTGAGATTTTTCTTACTTTTAATATCAGTGTTTACAAGTATAAATTTTCTTCTAAGAACTGCATGAGCCCTGCATCCTACAAATTTTGATATATTGCACTTTAACATTTATCTCAAAGTACTAATTTCCCTGTGACTTTTCTTTTTACCCATTGTTTATCTAGGAGAGTGTTGTTTACTTTCCACACATTTGTGAGTTTCCTAAATTTCCTTCTGTTATTGTGGTCAGAGAACACATTTTCTATGATTTCAGTCTTTAAAAAAAAAAAAAAGGAAAAATTTAAACAAAACAAAAAAAGATCATGGAAAGATTTCCGTTATCTTTCAATTCTATTTTTCCACAAACTTTTTGAAGTGGCCTTGTGTTTATATTGTTTTATTTATTTTTTATGAAATTTATCTTGCTAAACTTAGATATTTAATTTCTGTTCTTGATTTTAATTACGTATTTATTTTTTATGAAATTTATCTTGCTAAACTTAGATATTTAATTTCTGTTCTTGATTTTTTTTAATTACATGTAGTTGTTGATATGCTTAGAAATTAATTTGCTTTTGAAAAGTTTATTCATCTCCCTCAGTTGAAATTAATTTGACATTTGCATGCCTTGGGAAGACTTTAGAGAGCTATTTCAAATAATTGTAGAGATTATAAAATATGTAAATTTTAATGCTTTACATCTCCAGTTTTTGTGAAAAACTGAAGCCCTACTTTCTATGCAGTATTTTATTATTCATCCGTTATTCAGTTTATCTATTTGTTATTTGAACAAATAAATGTGCATATCCCTAAAAAAATAAAAGGAGAAAAACTAAAAAATAAAATAAATATAACACCTTCCAAGAATACATTATGGCAACAGTTTGTATTTTGAACAGGTCACTCACTAATCAAGGCAAGAAAATAGGCAAAGAACCCTCTCACATAGGGACTCTCCGCACCCAGGACTTCTTTAGACCATTCTGGGTCTGGGTCTAGACACAAGAAAAGCAAGATATTGGAAACTGATGGCTGGCACCTCAATCCCTTCCAAGTTACCTATATACACGAAGATTCACTATACACTTAGTGCTTCAAACTATTCAGGGCTGATATCAGAGAACCAGCTTATTCTGATAACCTTGGCTAGCTGTGCTTACCTGAATAGCTGCAAATGCCAGTGCTGCCCAGATAACATGCATCATGATTTCTTGTAGCTTCTTCACAACTAAAGCCTCACATCCCTGTAACATATACAGCCATCCTCATTAGAAGTCTTTTTTAAAAGTGAAAGCTGCAGTCATAGATTACTAATCATTGACAGAAATGGAAATGACAGAAACTAAAAGGGGAAAAAAGATTACATGATTAGAGCAACTTATGGGTATGTAATTAAAGTAAAAGACAATGCATTTAAAAATAATTTACAGTAAAACAAAATGGCATTAAAGACAAGCAAAAAGGGACAGAAATACAAGTTCCATGCAGTGATAAGACACGCTGAAAAACAGGTTATCAGACTAGACTAGCCTTGGCCAAGAGACTTACCTCAGCGTAGAGGTCGGAGGGATGGGCCAGACTGCCGTTACAGCTGCTAGCAGTCTCTCTGCAGCAGCTAAGAGGGACACTCTGGTTTTTGGTTTCTTTGAACCAGTCTGTACTTTCCCAGTCTGAGTAGTTGTGAATTCCACAACAGTGCAGCTAGAGAAGAGAACAGACATATTATTCCTCACAACACACATATACCTGGGTTGAACTTAAGAATTTCATGTACTATAGACCTTTAAGATAAGTCACTAAAGATCAGTGGTGTCCAATAGAACTTTCTACAATGATAGAAATGTTCTATGTCTATATGGTCCAATATAGTAGTCACTAGCCATATGAGGCTACAGTGAGCACTTAACATGTGGCTAGTGTGACTAAGAAACTGAATTTTAAATTTTAATTTAAATAGCAACATGCAGCTAACTCTAGAACCTCCACATGAAAAGCACATTGCCTACAAGGGGTAGTTTCTAGCTAAGGAAAAATCTTCATATCTTTCACATTAAATATCTGGTTCTGGGCTGGCCAGTTAGCTCAGGTGGTTAGAGCATGGTGCTGATAACATCAAGGTCCAAGGATCAATCCCTGTACCAGCCAGCCACCCAAAAAATAATTAATTAAATAATTTTAAAAATATATCTGGTTTCAAGTTAAATATTATTTCTAGTGACAAAGTGTTTAAAATGTTTTATCTGAAATGTCTGGGGTTTGCTTTAAGATAATCAAGCACAAAATATGTAGGAGTAATAGATGAAACAAGATTGACAAAAAATTGGTGATTTTTGAGTCAGGGTTATGGGTACAAAGATCTATTATCCCATTCTCTCTACATTCACGTATGCTTCAAATTGTCCGTTTTTTTATATATATACTTTTTTTTAAAATTACAGTTTTGTCTTGCCTTTACTGATCTTGTTTTCTAAAGTTATATGTGGACCTCCTACCTCCCCTAGAATCCATCTGGACTCTCGCCTTTCCTGTGACACATACCTCTTCCATTATCATCTCTCTGGCTAGTTATTTTGGCAGATATGGGGTGGGGAGTTAGATGATAAAAAAGTTCGAGATGCTTCTTATCTGGCTTTGACTAGGTGCTAGTGGAATCAACTTTTCAATGGTGAAGGTTGGGGAAAAATAATGTATGCATCAGGAGGTTAACCATGGCAGTGAAGGTACGTGGTTGATTTACATAGTAATAGCTGGGTTAGTTTAGTCTTGACCTAACAGTGATTGGCCCTCCAAAAAAAAAAATATTGCCTCAAGAAAGCTCACCTGTCTCTGTACATAATCAATAGCCCGGCTGGCAGCATCAGGGTTGGTTCCATTGTAGGTNGTTAAATATTATTTCTAGTGACAAAGTGTTTAAAATGTTTTATCTGAAATGTCTGGGGTTTGCTTTAAGATAATCAAGCACAAAATATGTAGGAGTAATAGATGAAACAAGATTGACAAAAAATTGGTGATTTTTGAGTCAGGGTTATGGGTACAAAGATCTATTATCCCATTCTCTCTACATTCACGTATGCTTCAAATTGTCCGTTTTTTTATATATATACTTTTTTTGAAAATTACAGTTTTGTCTTGCCTTTACTGATCTTGTTTTCTAAAGTTATATGTAGACCTCCTACCTCCCCTAGAATCCATCTGGACTCTCGCCTTTCCTGTGGCACATACCTCTTCCATTATCATCTCTCTGGCTAGTTATTTTGGCAGATATGGGGTGGGGAGTTAGATGATAAAAAAGTTCGAGATGCTTCTTATCTGGCTTTGACTAGGTGCTAGTGGAATCAACTTTTCAATGGTGAAGGTTGGGGAAAAATAATGTATGCATCAGGAGGTTAACCATGGCAGTGAAGGTACATGGCTGATTTACATAGTAATAGCTGGGTTAGTTTAGTGTTGACCTAACAGTGATTGGCCCTCCAAAAAAAAAAACATTGCCTCAAGAAAGCTCACCTGTCTCTGTACATAATCAATAGCCCGGCTGGCAGCATCAGGGTTGGTTCCATTGTAGGTCTTATACACTTTCTGAATCCTGTGATCAACCTCTTTTTCCACCTGAATCAAAACAAAGAATTCAGTCCTTCAAAAATACTGGTAAAAGTAACATTAGTCAAGGCTCCAGCTGAAATACTTAAATGGCATGTTTGCTAGTTGCCAGATCTCTGTGAATTTCTTGGAAGAAAAGTTTTCTCACTGCGCCGCTACGGGAAACACCTTGGGCTCCCAAGCCGGGGTGCTGGGGGGCCGAGGGCTTCAGCCACACACCCCTGACATCTGCATCCAGCCCAGTAAGGACCAGGCCGCTGCTGGAAGCCCTCTGGCCTCCCCTGACGGAATGAGCGGGGTGCCATAGGCCTCCACCACACCCCGCCTTCCTTCTCCTCCTACCCTATTTTCCTTCCCATTTGTCTCCCCCTCCCCCCCAACTGCTCTGTAACATCTTAGAATGTAAAAAAAGTAATAATATAAATTAATTAAAACAAAACAGTAAAAAAAGTTTTCTCCCTTCCTGCCTCCACATAGATTCAAACTAATAGGTAAAAATTCAGGTATGTTATATCACACAGATTAAAGCATTCAAAGAGAAGATTGTATGCAAGATGGCCAGATGATCTACTGAAGGAGAAAGCAGTTGAGCCTTGGGATACATGTCCTAAATTATAAATGGATGCCTTCCTTTTTCAAATAAGGTTTCAATGTGTTTTCAGAAGACCCATTTTCATTTCCTAAAGGAGGTAAAAACAAAACGACTTTGAAGCCTCTGTAAGATACTTTTGGGACAAATACCAACATTATTTCCATTTTACTTATTTACTATTTAGATTTGGCCAAATACACAAAAGAAATCAGCAGATTAAAAAAATCAGTCCTTAGAAGTGGCAATTCATGAAGAAGCTTCTACTGAATGCATGTCAGAAGGGAGACAGGAAACAAACTTCCTAAATTATTTTTGCCAATTGCTAAAGTGGCAAGCAAGTGTCATTTAATAAAGTTTGCTTGTATCAGAATCTCTTTACCTCTCTATGATGATTAGACCTACTTTGTAATTGTAACAGTGATGTGATGAGAATATAAAATTGATAACCAGATCATAGGTAGGGACATAGTCCACTGCATTTTTTTTTTTTTTGGCATAGCTGCAAAGTATCTTATGTATCAACAGTTTGAATATTAACTTGTGTGGAATATACTATAAAGCATATGTACCTCACAGGGCCTGGTTTTCCAAAGCCAATTTCCCTCAGGCTATAAGTCTCTGTTGCAAGATAAGGATTGCGGCACAGCAGGTTGCTGGCTCAAAGACAGACTAGATGCTGATTGTTATGTAAAGATACTGAGAATTGCTATAGGAAGGAATGTTTGCTAAGATCAAACTGTTCTTGATAGGACCACTTAATAGCCTTACTGAAATATCATCTGGCTTGTTTCACTGAAAGTTACCAGCCTAGATCGTTAAACTATAACTACACCTTTTCTTCTCTTCCTGTAACTTCCTGGTCTGGAAAATAAATGCAGGGAGAGAACCCCAATTCAGCGTTAATTTCCCAAGGAAGGGATGGCTCTCGCTTGAGTGTCCGAAAGGGAGATTAACCACTTCGGGGCCTCTCACTGCTCAGTAGAGATGGGCTTTGAGTAATC